ATAACATTACATAGTAGACTTTCTGGTGTTGGATGAAAACCTATCACATATTTTGGTATTGAATAATAAATTCCGACATTTAATTGTTTTAGATAAGCAGTCACTACATATGCTGCTGTTGGAAAACAAGTTACAGGATTTTGTTATGGTAAATAAGAAGTTAATTTATTTCCTGGTGGTGATTAAGAAGTTACTGAATTTGGATAAATTGTCCTCGCATGTTCTGGCATTGAATTAAAAGCTACTTCCTTACTTCTGTTGAGTATGAAGAACTTCATATCCCGAAGTTTAGTGATAAATGATCATACATAATAGTGTTAAATGCGAAGCTATTACATATCACGGTATTGCATGCCACGTTACCACACACATATCATCAAATTTAAAATGCTATTATGTATTCTCATTTTGGATAAGAATCTACAACATACATTGATGTCGGGTAGTTTGTTGCATCATAAGTGCACGTTGAATAATTGTGTTGCTGTCAGAAAATAGCTTAAAAATATCTTGGTGTGTGGTAGCAACAGATGGAATCTGATCATGGAAAAAAATGATTATGAAATACCCTGGTGTTGGAAAGAAGCTATTAAAAAAGTTACCCCACACTTATTTACTTAATTATTTACGCGCCAAGCGAAGCACAACGCTTCCACAAGGTCTCGCCAGCACACTCTATCTTGGTCCATTACTTGAGCTTGGGCCGGCATGGCCAGGTGGTTAGGGCGCTCGACTCGCAATCTGCGGGTAGCGGGTTCGAATCCCCGTTACACCAAACATGCTCGCCCTTTCAGCCGTGGGGGCATTATAATGTCACGGTCAATCCCACTATTCGTTGGTAAAAGAGTAGCCCAAGAGTTGGCGGTGGGTGCTGATGACTAGCTGCCTTCCCTCTAGTCTTACACTGCTAAATTAGGAACGGGTAGCGCAGATAGTCCTCGTGTAGCTTTGCGCGAAATTCAAAACAAACAAACAAACAAACAATACTTGAGATTGTCCCAGGTCAGCTTCAACTTGGGTGTCAGTTCATCTTCAGTTAATCTTTTGATCTTCTAAATGTTGTTTTAGACTTTCCCTTCTTCTTTTCCCTCTCAAGCTAGAACAGAGCCTCTTTTGTGATGTTATTCTGTTCTATTTTTAGCACTTGGCCTATCCACACCCATTTGCTTCTAGTGATCTCTACCATGGTGTATTTCTGTACCGTTTTCTTCTCACTTCTTTGATTGAAACCTTTGTAGGCCATCGTATTCTACGAAATATCCTAGGGTATCTGTGAATAAACACACGTAGCTCCCTGGCAATTTCTATTATTATTTTCCAACAGTCTGATCCATAGAGAAGTACAAATTTTAAATTATCACTGAAGTGCTACAGATTGGTCTTGAGAGAAATATTTTGGACCTCCACAATGGTTTTATAGAAATAAATATTAGCTTTGTTAATTCGACTATTCACACCAGTATATTTTCTTCTCTGCTCGTCAACTATGCAGCAGAGGTATGTTAACGATTTCTACTTCTTGCCCATTTCCTTGTAGCTGTCATTGTGGTGACTAGTAGGAAGTTATGGCTTGAGTGTGATAAAGCAAATTACGACATACCCTACTGATAGAATGCTACATTAATAGTATGTTATTCCGTTATGTTAAAGAATACTTTACACATATTGCAACGGATTCATTATTATATATATATATATATATATATTAATATCGTTGTTTGTTTAAATTAATTTATATTTAGAAATATACATAATGTATACTGTTAAATATGTATTGCGAAACTCCCGTCTATTCTCTAAAGTTGCAGAAGATTCTCGATTGTAAGAATCAACAATATATGTGTCTACGTAAACGCTAGTGTTAGCGTCAGTATTGTTACCTAAAACTGAAATTTCGAGAAACTCTCCACACGCCTATAAATATAACCAACGCGACGCGCCAAAAACAGTATCTATTATTAGTTTATTTATTATTAGTTTGCTTCGGAAGCTATAACTGTGATTGTTATAAAGCTTATTAATCGGGAAACTTGAGATATTTGCCAGGAACATTTATAAATTTCGAACGTTACAAACCATTTAACTTGAGTGGATTCACATAGGACATTAGTACTTTTACGAAAACATTACCTAACTTCATCGGTGGAATAAATCGGCGAAGAACCACAATTAAGCGAATTGTACCTACATCAGCTCGTAATTAGCTCGCTCATCGTGAACCCTCGATAAGATATTAAGGATGTTCCAGACAAGAAAGAATACTTTATATTGCTTGTAAGTTTGTAAATTTTTTGTATATAAATCATTGTGTGTAATAACTATTTGTAATAACTGTTATTGTAAATTGTATTGTTGTGTGCATATTAAAACGTATTCGTATTAATGAAGAAAACTGTATGCATCAATCTTGTTGGCAAATATCATAAATTGGATACATATCAACATATTTAACTACTAAATCTATATCACAATTTAACTCAGTTTCAGGCTATTAGAAATTGTCATATGTAACAATGTTCCATCATTCTAGGTTTTAAAGTCGTGTATTAATAGTTTACCACATGTTTAGAATGGTATCAATTCTAGAATCATATCTTATTCTTCTGAGTAATGTGGAATAGTAGATCAATAGTTTACCTTTCCCGAAAATATGCTATAGAATACTAGAACAGTAACAAATCATTGTGTAGTTCTGTTTATAAGTTTCGATCAATCAAGTATTTTATCTTTTTAAAATATATGTTATCCAATACTTATCATATGTCATAGAAACAATATAAATATTTTTTATTTCTAGACAGTATATCATAGGATAATGCTGTACACTTGTGCATAATATACAAAATACTCAATACAAAAATTCCAATTAAAAAAAGATCCAGATTGATAATGAAACAATCTAAGACCACAAAGAAGATATTTAGCCATTTCCATGACGTAGAGACAACTAGTTGGGTAGAAGCTGATAAAGCACAAGTCACTAGAAAGCAAAGAATAATCTATATATATTGTTACGTTTCCGTTCGTTAGTTAATTTTCCGTAACTTCGTTCGGACGAAACTTTAGCGACACAAATCCTTTCTTAAATAAAACTGGCTTATTCTTTCCGAATACAACTTTACCGATACACTTAATTTCAACAGTCGCTCTATACAAACGCTATAACTCACGTCTCACGAGCTGGACTTCAACAATACTCCGTTCACTTACACACTTTCTAACTGCAGTTCAATTACTCATTACCCCTGTTGTCCCGTCACGTTGTGAACGTCTTATATATATACAAGACTAACACATATCTAGTAAATGCTAGGGCATTCTTGAAGGAACAGGATATTTCTAGAAAGCGTGGCGTGATACTAGTCACGTGACCTCGCTGACGCAACAATATAATAAGCACAAATATCTGTTTCTCCGTTATCTAACTATTGCTAGGTCGCTGGGCCAATCTCAATCAAACTTTGTGGGATGATAGTTTGGAACAAGGGGTATGTTAGTGGGTGGCTAATAACCTTTCCACCCATTTATTGCTGTTATTGAGCATTTATCATCTTTGATGTAAGTTTACGTTAACTACATTCATTGATGGCGCCACGTTCTTACACAAGAAAAAACTTTATTAAATTTTCTGTAACACATACACACAGTGTGGAAGGAGGGCACACATAAGTAATATATATCTCAGAGAGTGCACTAGCACTCTGTATGGAGGAATGCAAAGAAAAAGCTGCCGCCACTATTGCAATAATACATAAGCTCAGCTAAAGTTTCTACTCCAACAGCCACCATAAGGCTAATATGGAGAGCCGTTTTTTTTTGTTTTTTTTTTCAGTTATAGCAACTTCTTACTTTTAATGCTTGGAGACGGCTTGAATGGGTAATTAAGAAAACCTTTAATATGAATTTAACGTAACAGCAAATGTACAACGTTTCGACAAGGTTTTGTCATCATCAGGTACCAAAGTTTTTCTTCATTACCCATTCAAGCCGTCTCGAAGCATTATTAGTCTCAAAGAGGGTTCCTCATCATCGAACTTCTTACTGTGACCTATGACCTTTCAACCTCGGCTTATGATATATTTATGCAGCCATTGACCGTCTATTAATTAATCACGTGAAACGCTGTTGATGGACATTAGAGCTGGGTGTTGAAAGTGGTTAACAGCAAGCGTCCCTATCGCCAGTACTTTGGCTACTACCCCTTCCGACCATCGCACAGTGTATACCATGTTTCAAGTATATACATATCGAGTTCTTAAAGCTTATACGAAACATTTGGTGAGGTAATAATGAATAGTGTAATAATATGTTATGTTATAAATAAATTGTGTGAAAGTTAGGATTTTTGTGTTAATTATCATAGCAACCACCCACACATTTTTTTGGTTCATTACCCGGACAAAGAACGGGTATTTCAGCCTGTATATAGTATTTCGCAAACCACACTTCATCTGCCATATTTAGTGCCGAAAACGCCTTTCACCAATGCCAGGGATCATCAGGCCAACTAGAACACGACAGACATAGCAGTAGTCTAGGCCCTATTTATAACATTAATTTCATGAACAGCAACCTATGGTGTGACCTATTTTAAATAAGTGAATTGTAATTATCACCTATCGTATCTAAATCCTTTACAAATGAGAAGTAAGGTAGGTATTAATAACACAAAATAATTTATTTACGTCAAACACCAATTATTTATTATTATTGTATTTGAATTAACTTTACTTTCATCCAGAAGAACTGGCGAAACAGGTAGTTTTTTTCTGCATATTTTAATAAAATTTCAAATTTAAGTTCCCAAAAATTGGTATTCATACGTGAGCAATTCAACCATTGGTTAAGTAAACACAAGAAACAAGCATGTAAAAGCTAAACTGCATTACTGTTTTGATTCTGTAATGGATTATATTATCTTTACCTTCATTTGTAGTTACTAGCTCTCAAAATCAGAAATAGTAATTTCTATAATTGTTTGTTTGTTTTTGGAAGGTTACGCAAAGCTACGTGAGGACTATTGCGTTAGCCGTCCCTAATTTAGAAGTGATAACTAGATGTAAGGCAGCTAGTCAACACTACCCACCGCCAACTCTTGGGCTACTCTTTAACAACGAAGAATAGGATTGATCACCACATTATAACGCTACCACGGCTGAAAGGGACCTGCAGATTGCGAGTCCAGGCCCCTAACTACTACCAGGCCATGCAGGCTTGAAGCTATTTTTATATAACTGAGATTATTATTAACATTTGTGACATGTAAAACTTAAAAAACCAACAACAAACTTATGTATTCCTGTCATGCTGTAAGTTTAGGACAAAACAATTTCAACGCGATACTTGATTATGTACAAAACCAAAGATATTTTATTATTGATATGTGAAAATAACTTGATTTACATTAATTTATTTTACTACATAATTGTAATAAACAATGGTTGATAGTCATATATACCAAAAAACGTGTACAAATAGTTATATGATTATTTTATATAATAGGCTAAAGAAATAACAAATTACTAACATATTAATCCAAATCTGTAAAAGTACTATCTAAAAAAAAACGTGTACTACAATTTCTAATGTAAACAAGGATAAGGCACTAAAAATATATATTCTCGTATATACTAAAAACTACAGTTTAGAAACAGTGGCTTCTGTTTCCTTTGCCTTGACACAAGTCACGCCGTTCGCACGTGATAGCATGGATCTTATAACACTGAGAAACGGCTAGTAAGTGACCTTGCTTGAGAACACATTACTTCAAAGTTGCACAAGTCTCAACACTGACGTCCTTATAGCAATACACCATTCCATTAGATGAATAGAGGTCTACAATTTTAAGAATTTCTAGTCTACTGTGGTCACGTGGCTAATATTGGTCAACACAAGTAGACGAACAATAAAAAAGCCTGCGTGCTGTTTACATTTCAGTTAATCAATGAATGACTTTGTATCTTAGAAGCTATCAGTTATCTATCGATATAGCTATGTTGAATAGTATCTTGTCAATTGTGATTTGGGCTAAATAAATATGTCTCTAAATTATCTAGCTTCTTGGTGCATTATAATTTAAATTATTTAAAATTATTCATTGTAATTATATATTGGGGTTTCTTACTGGACAGATAGTTTAAGATTTTCAATTAAGTTGAGTTTTCTAGTTACCTACTATGACGCGGTTATCATAATCACATATTTGGTTAAACTTAACATTGGTGTTCAGTAGATTCAAAACTGAATATTTGTTTGTATTATTGTTATTTACTAAAAATAATTATTTGTTTTTATTGAGGTTTTAAGCACTGATAGCTGAAAAGAAGAAAAAGATTCGTTTATACATGTGTTCAGTATACTGAAAGCTGAAGAAGACCTTCACTCATATTGGTGGTAAATTCCCCCAAAACATAAACTTTGTTGACGCACAAAATGTTCACATGTTTTTTGTGCTTTTTTTTTACACAAAGGTTTTATACACAAACTTAACATATTAATTTCAATAAATACAGTCACAAAATTTTCAATTAAGCACATACAAACTTTAAAATACTTACTTCGTTCAAGGGCTAAAAGAAACACATAAAACTATGGCAAATAATTTTTTTACTTCTTTTTTTAGAAAAGTTTAAAAAAAAATGCTTCTTGTGTAGAAATCGACATCTTCATGTTTTTCCTCACTCTTACTGAATTTTACAGAAGTGGAAGCGAATCTTTCGTCTGATCTATTAAAGCAAAAAACAGTAAATATTAGGACAATCCGTATTGGAACACAAAGCACAAATAATACCTAAAACAAAAGTAGCTCGAAATGTTTGATGTACAATTTTAGTAAGGAAAAATTAGTACATAATTATGTTTATCTTCACAGAAACATCTTTTCTTTAGAACTTTTGAAAGTCAAAGAATTGTGTAACTAACCATCTTAAAAATGGTCATTATTCTACTCTGTAGTTAAACACATCTAGTACTGTATAAATTTAGTTCAACATGCCATGAATAACAATAGATAAGTTGTGAACTGTAATTAACATTATGCAGTCACTAAGCTGTTTGGGTTTATTACTATTATTACCAGTAATATTTATTATTGTAAAGAAACCAACCAGGATAAGCGTCTTCTGGCATGAATTGTGAATTGTTTCCAGCACTTGTACACTGGTATTCATGATCATTGTTTACTGGTGCAGTTGGAGTACGATCAGCTATTAACTCATAGCAGGGAATGTAATTTGGTGACATCAAAGGTTGTACTGAGTTCGTCATAGTTATTACGTGAGTACTGTTTTGGACTGTCTGTATTCCCTATAGGTGTGGATAGAAATGGAATTAATAATAAATTTATCAATTAATGATAACATTCTTAATCATTTATTATATATTTCCCCATGAAAAATAGAAACAAATTAATTAAGGATATCTACAAAGCACTAAAAAACTTTGTGAACGTTATGATAATAAAGTTAGAAAAAACTACCTTTACACTCCAGATAATTATAACAGAACTTATATTTCAACCAGCGTTTTGCTTTTGTGGCTTCTTCAGGGCTAGTACATATTTATATGTTTCACTTTGAATTTTGATCCAATTATAGATTTGAGTTAAGTTTTATCAGTATCTAATCCTTTCTAAATACTCAACAACTTCGATACGTAAAACAGATAGTTCTTGTGCAGAAATGTTAAATAAAATAACGAAATGAAAATCAACGTTTTTTACTTGCATAATCATTTAATTGTAAAGATTAAAAATAAAAAATATACAAGTTAAAAGAAACTTAAAACTCTACATGTTTCGATGTAAATATTCTACCATCTTCAGGAGAATCCATCAAGAAGTACACATAACATTGCTTATAAACCTAAAGTACGTGTATAATTAGCATATATGTACAATGGCACTAATTACAACAATAATTCCCAAAAATTTATTTCGATGGTTCTTGGGCCTAAATCTCTATTTAAATTCCTTTTGTTTTAACAATTTCTAAGGATTCTCTTATATTTAGTTCATATTTTTCAGTTAACTATTTAAGAATTTTTACAATATCTCAATCAATAATATGTTTAAAATTCGCCACATGATTCGCCAAAGCTGATTCACCCGTTTTTAATTTATCCACAGCCCATTGCTACCTTGTTTCCTTATTTTTTGATGCTTCCATTACTACTTCCTAATTTTTTATTTTAAAAATGTTTGCACTTGTTGAAAGTAAAATTTGAAATTGCGTGGCATTAAATCGAGTGTGTGATATTAACAGTAAAATATGAAATTATGTGGCTTTAGATTGAGTGTGTACGATTAACAGCAAAGTCTGAAGGTAGGTATCTTTAAACTGATCATTGAGTGTGTGATATTTAAAGTAAAATTTGGGATTACGTGACTTTAGATTGAGTGTGTTATACCAAGAGGCATATTCCAGGTGCTTTGGACTTGGACAGAGTCTGAAATATGACAAATAAGTGGATACATGAATCATTTTAGATTAAGCATATAATACTGCAAAATACAGGTTGGTTGGTTTTCGCTTTAATGTATGATATTAATAGACAAATACCGCGATGGCTGGTTTTGCTTGTTGCATATTATTTTAAGAAATACCATGTTACTTGTTTTTGGTTTGACTGTAACAGTTTCCAGTTCTCAGAAATGAACTTAAGTGTTGATAAAAGAATTCCTTCCTAGCAAGGACTCCTTTCTTAGCAGAATAGACTGTGTCTTATTTATTCTTGCTGTTCATTTGATTAGTGAAGATAATGAAAGAATTCCTACGACAAATGATTTTTTTTTGTCGTGAAAGTGTGATAGCTGAAATTTTAAAAATAATTAATTACAATTATTTGCATACTTTCTAATATTAGAAATACCCTTATTGTTGCTATACCTGCCCTTAGAACCCATGCAGAAAATTAATGCTATAAATTAGACTCGTAAGGAACTTGAGGATTGAATTATGTATTGAAATGTATGTACCAGCCCACCAGTGGTACAGCGGTATGTCTGCGGACTTACAACGCTATCATCCGGGTTTCGATACCCGTGGTGGGGAGAGCACAGATAGCCCTTTGTGTATCTTTGTGCTTAACTACAAACAAACAAACTTGTACCTTCTATTGTGTAGTTACTTTGTGATACGAGACATAATAAACGGCACAAGTAATGCGTCAAAATACTTTTATATCGACTGAAATAGAAATGAAAGCAATGATATCAAGTTCCAATTATTATAGATTCTCATGACACGTTATTTTCAAAGGTATAAAGCAAGTTGTGTATTAATGAAAACTTTATAAATGAAATATTGCAATATATTTTTTAATATAAACACTAAAACTAAACTGTGAATTAGCACAATTGTTTAGTTCTTGAATAATATGTTATCCTTTCTGATGCACTTTGATTAAATAAGTTCATTAAATTAGTCACTCGATGGAATTTATAATACATACTACTATACGGACTGGTTTGCTGATCTCGGAAAATCTTCTTGCTGCATATACTTCAAAAGCGGTCTAAAACAAGATTAAAGAAAAAGGAGGTGATCAAGAATATGGTTAAAATCGCATTTCGTTACACATTTTAACGCATAAAACATATGTTTTCTTATGCCAATAAAATTTTAACAAAAAACACCATGAATAATAGTTACTTTAGCACAATCAATTGCACGATGAGAAGTACGGTTAGGTATAAAGTGTTTTTTCTAAATCGCACAGTAGAACCATTAAGATACGAAACCCTATGATCCAAGTGCTTTGAAAGGTGAACTTTTCTTCTTCTTCTCGTTCTCAATTTGCCCCTGAAGAAGAAAGGTTCTCCTTTCAAAAGCACTTGGATAGTAGGGTTTCGTATCTTTGTGTTAAGTTGGTTTCTTAAACCTGCATGTTTTCCTAACATCGTGACAGTAGAACCGTGGATAAATCAAAACTAAAAAATACAATGTATTTTTTAAAAAAACACCCATTTTTGCTGTTCAGTTTAAACTTTAACGTAGAAGTGTTTGAACCTAGTCCTATTCAGTACTAGGCGTGATCTTTCTTTAAAACTGATCCTGTTTAAATATATACATAGTAATATATTTATAAGTTAGAAAGAAAAATAGAAAGTTTCCTCTCAAGAAACAAACGAAGAATTTGTACTTACGTTGATGCAAGGCGATATTATTCCAAAAGACGCAAAGATACACATGTAACATGAGATTGTTTTCAGAGCCTCCATTATGTCTATTACAAGTGGATTTTGCAGAGTGTCCTAAAATAAAAGTAAAATTGTTAACACTCACAATATTATAAAAGATGTGTTGAACCATGTGACTGAAACATTTTATAGGAAATTAAGTATTATATTTTTTGTTAAAACTTAGATACTAAATCAAAGCTACAGTTAAACCTATTCACGATAATGAATGAAAGCTGGATTAAATGTTAAAATATGTTTCCATTTTAAGTTTGTTTGCTTGCTTAGAATTTTCTCGCAAAGCTACACAATGGCTATCTTTGCATAGCCGCCCCTAATTTGAACTGATAAGTTAGAGAAAAAATGGTTTGATTTTTTTTTGTTTGGTTTAAAGCAAAGCTACAATGGCTTGTCTGCTGTGTTCACTGTGGGAAATCGAATCCGGAATTTTAGCGTTATGAGTGCGTAAACTTACCTACAGAAGAAAGTCAACATCAAATATCACCACTATATTCTTGGGCTACCTTCATCTGACCAAATAAGGTTACCATCATTCTTTATTTTTAAACACATCCATGACCTCTTTTTGGATCAACGTGACGCAAAACAAAAACCCTTGGATTCACAGTCCGATAATGCTGGCTAATTGAATACCCAGTACCTAGTTCAGTTTACTAATAACACGTTCGAGAGGCTCGTTATTTTCTATACATCAGCTATATAGTTTTTGTGTTGTGCAAATGATAAAATACGCAGAACTAAGAAATTATATAACATTTTAAAAATATATGTATGACAAAACTTATCAAACACTATCGTAACCAAATTAAACATAATTTTGCGTTTAATGATTAAAAAGATGAAAAAAAAACACGTATATTCTGAAGGCTTCTAGGAACACAAGTCATAATAAACTTTTTCCAATTCTCTATGATGATGATGAAACCATGAAAATTACACGTATCTTAAAGGATCTGGCAGATTCCGGAAGACAGAAAAAATAAGTCTTGCGTCTGTTATAGTTATCAAAACACCTAATGATGAGATTTGTTCTTTTACCATCAACTTTAAACTTGATAGTGTTGTATAGCTGATATAGGTGACTAATGTTGTTGAAGAGGGTATTAACAGTAAATACAGAAACCAAACTAAAGTTTCTGTTTACTAGATCTTTTTATAGTTTGATTCAAAAAGGATAACTTCGTCCCAAACATTCTTTCTTTTCTGCTAGGACTAATAAACAAAGCATATTCGTAGCATGTATAATATTATCACAAACTGTGCTGCACAACGATTTTGTTAATTAGACAAATACAGATATTGCAAGCAAGGAAGTTAAAAAGCAACAGACTTGTACTGTACTTTTTTTTACTTTTCGTGCAAACCACACAAAGCCTATCTTTGCACCTCACCATTAATTTTAAAATGATACGTTAGATAGAAATCAGCCAGACGAAAGCACCACCTATCCGTTTTTTAGGTTACTCTCGTCACGCTAAATGGTGAGAGTTGGCCATTACTTTTATAGTAGCCACAAACCCTCAGATTCATAGTCCCAGCATTGCCAGATGGTTAGGGCGTTTGACTCGTAATCGAATCCCCGTACCAACAAACATACTCGCCATTTCAGCCATGGGGGCATTATAATGTAACGGTCAATCTCACTATTCGTTGGTAAAAGAGTAGCCTAAGCGTTGGCGGTGGGTAGTGATGACTAGCTGCCTTCCCTCTAGGCTTTCACTGTTAAATTAGGCCTGACTAGCACAGACAGCCTTCGTGTACCTTCGCGCGAAATTCAAAACAAACCAAAACAATCATACTCCTAGCATGCTAACTACCAGCACGCCTGGCCATAAAGCGTACAAATTATCATATTTTGAAGTTATATAAAATAAAAATTATGTTACTTGAAAAAGTGAGACATTTTGATGTTAAAAATAAAGAGGCTAATGATACGTCAAAATTGCTAAAACTTTCCCAGTTGTGTTATATTTAATACAATGATTTGAAAGCAATAAGTGATACGTGGTAATTTACTTACAAGGAAGATGTAGCTATAATAAATAACAGCTAAATAACCAGTAGCAGTCACGAAAGGGTTCACGATCAGCCATGGAAGTAGCATTCCTTTCTTCTTGTACTACAATAGAATAATACAGTTGTATCCCAAGCATCAGTGTTTAGATATATTCCTTACAAGAGTGTGGTAATAAACCAAATAGTTAGAATTATACTTGAATAGCTAGAACCTGAACCCATTAAACTGTAATTGTGATAAACACTAAACATATACAAACGTGTTCAATAAAAGCCGATTACTAATTAACGACTGAAGATCGCCACATAATTTACTTCACTGAAATTTATGTATCTAGAAAGAAGAAAAGTTTCTATCGACGAACTATATTACAGCTATCATCACCATCCAGTGGCATATGTACGATTTGTAAAGCCCCACCTTAAAAAAAAAGCAGTATTTGCTATATTGTCTAGCTTTCGTTTGGCCCTCTGAGCCCCCAACCCGTCACTATCACCACTCAAGTTTTTAAACTTAGGAGAAAATTGTTACATTTCAACCCGTTTAAAAACCAATTTTACCTAATATCTTAATCTCTTAACAGTTAAAGGATTACACAGCAAGTAAAATGTTTTTTTGACAGTATCATTTGTACACTAAACAGTTAAATGATTACTTTCAGAGACAAGACTTAAATTACAGAATAACATCATAATACAACAAGTTAAAAGTTTTTGAAACAATTAATACTCCTTTTGGAGTTAATTCCAAATTTTTTTAACAGCATTGTTTTTACATGCCAGGTTAGATTGAGCATGATCACTTGTAAGAGTAGTACAATTACTTACCGAGTTACCTATAAAGAGGAATATACTAGATAATATCCAAATCACGTTCAAGAGCACAGCAAAAATGACTAGTTGCCGACTCACTGTGAAAAACAAAATACTCACAGTTGTGAAACAAAACTTTTTTATAATTGTATTAGAATAGTAGTCTTGAAATACTCTCACTTTTAAAAATACGTTTTGTCTAAATACCTAAGAATACTGTTTTGGAAATATGATATAGAATATTCAATTTATATACATATATAAAAGGCTTTATGCTATCAACAAGTCTTCAGTGTATTTATTTTCCTACAAATATTACTCCTTCCACACAATGGATTTACATATACATGGCCTCACTTCCAATTTAGTCAATTTAATAAAGCACTTTCAAGCCAGTTTTAGTTATTACCTGCTTTCAACTTTGTTATTCTTAAATTTCATCCAAATACCCAAAAACTAGAGGTTGTTCTACTAGTAAGCATCAGATAAAGAATGAGTTTATACATAAAGAAAAGTTAATATTTTCCTAAACTGGAAATGTATCTCCGATAGATTCTCACCACCTGTCACAAAATAGCTTTTCTCAATTAGTACTGCCCTCTATCAGCGCAAATTTTCAACGCTCGCCACTTGCCTTCCACATTACACTCCTGCATATCCACATGTAAATGATTATGCAGCAACTCTCCACCAACAGGAACCCAACATAATCCCAGTGGTAACCAACGCCCTCTCCGCATTTGCACTCATTAATCACTTCGAGAGTGGTCAGAAGATTTACACCACATATCACTGGAAGTGGGGAGGCTAGGTGGGAAATGTGATGGGAAGTAAGTATCTATTGGAAATACATTTTCAGTTTAGGAAAAAAATTAACTTCTGATAAAATATCTTACCTCCTCTCACAAAACAGCTAGAATCCCACATTGAACTGGTGGAGGGCCGGTGAAAAAATGATCCCCGTTTAGGAAGCACCCAAAGAGAAACCATGAGGTGTGGAACCAAAAAAGAAAATATTACACCTCAGCGGAAGACTGCGCCACATCTGATCCAGGTATGCTCTTTGCTCTTTTAAAACTATGTCACGAACAGAAAAAGTACAAAAACATGAAGGAATCCCATAATACGTATTACTAATTAATGGGACCTCTAGATGTTGAGTGGGTAAGATGTAACAGACCATAGTGGTAGTTTGACCTCATCAAACAGCTGGTGGTATCTGGAATTGTACAACAGTTCTGTGGTAGGCAGAGGATCACCTTCCATACCAAAATCTATCTCCACTTGCACGCATTTCCAACCAAACCACACCTGATTCACCCCAAACCGACATCCAAAGGATGGTAGGAAGGAGAAAAGTCCCAGTGGGGTGACATCTCTGATCCAAAACCTAGTAACATTGGGTATGGTTCTTCCAGTCCATAGCAGGAGGAGGATACCTGGCCATACACACAAGTGGAAATACATGTGCTGCATCCAGCTATAATCAACACCAGATCTGCCAGTAACTGGCATCCAGCAGATGGTAGGAAGAGGGACTACAAACCTTTGGTGCGTCTCCAGTACTAAATCTGGCAGCATTGGGCATTTTTCATCCAGTCTGTGACAGGAGGAGGGAAACCAGCCATAACAAGTATAGGGGATGGTAGGTAGGAGGAACATCTCAACCTGAGGGCAGACTGCAATATATATATATATAGAGAGAGAGAGAGAGAGAGTAGTGACATGGCAGAGTGCTTCAACCAAAACCTGGTGATATCTGGAATTGTAAATCAGGTCTGTAGTAGGAGGATGGTAATAAGGAGGAATGCCATGGTGGGAAAAGTAATCTGTCAGATATACATTTTAATATGGCGTAGCACTATAACAAAAACCTGGCAATATCTGGAATTGTACATCCATTGACACCCACAAAATGTCACCACCCTACTTTCAACTGAGTGGTATGATGCATAGTCCACCACCCAAGTGGCTAGGAACTGGTAAGTGGCAAGGACTTCCATACTCCACGAGAAGAAGGGAGGGAAAAACGTGTTGGAGAGTCGAGAGGACTGCATCACCACAGATAGTGCAACGGGTGACATTGATACCCTATTTTGAAAAACAGAGCACCACGTCGACGGAGTCGATTAACCAACACCCAGTGGCATCTGGAATTGTACATCAGGTCCACGGTAGGAAGAGTCCCAATGCCACAGAGCATCAGAGATGGGCAAAAATCCCTGTCTGCTTTACTCGTGTATGTACACGAGTGTATGGTCTGGTATTAACATAGTTATGGAGCAAAAGACCACTAGAGAGAACTACTAGCGGTTCTATGGAACACCCCATCTCTATGGTGTGCATAACCTAATCCTGCAAGGTAATTGTTTTGACACAGATGAAAATTGAATGGAAACACAAAACCAACACTTGGTGGCATCTGGAATTGTACATCAGGCCCATGGTAGGAAGAGCTACAATATAATTAACATCGAGCATGGTCACAGGATGGACAGTGCGGATATTTAAAAAGTATACCTGGTCAGACACCACTCGCCACAGAGTGGGATCCACAATACTCTAGCTAAAAGGTCGTATAAATATAGAAATAACAAAAACATAGTAAAGGAAAACGAAGTCTGTAGTATACAGGAAAATGTCAACAAATTTTCGAGAAAAAACAGGCACGTCTGTACAGTACTACTGCCAATTGGGAAGTAACTAACGAGTGGAAACATGGAGAGCGTACTGCTTACAATAAGGGGTTGTGTCACACTCTTATTGGTGGAGAGCTGCTGCATAACTATTTACATGTGGATATGCTGGAGTACGAGGTGGAATGCTAGTGGCAAGCATGGAAAATTTGCACTGACAAAAGGCAGTAATAATAGAGAAAAGTTAGGTTTTGAGAGGAGGAAAGATATCGTATTGGAATAAAGTATTTCTAATACATACAAGCTGAACAAATTCTTTGCATTGAGAAAACTAATGGAATAAATATTTCTCTACATCATATACAACTGTAGTATACAGTTTGTGCCATATTAAGAAGAAACAAATCATTTTCTCTTTAGTAAAATATTGTTGAATAATATTTTTAATTAACAAAAAATATAACTTCCATCATAAGATAAGACAGAGATTTTACAATAAGAAAACCAACAACTTATTTACAATATAATATGGTTGAAGAATCTCTTCCAACTGAACAAACAAAACTTTATATGATTTTAAGAAAAAAAACAAAAACTGCTCTCTGACAGTTATTAAATGAAGTTAATCTTTACAAGGGAAAATACAGAAAAATGTTTTTCTTATAATAAATGTTTGGAAAATATTTTCTAATTAAAAAATAATTTCTTTTCAATTATAGAGTTAAATAAGAGTTTCTATGATTTATAACAAAAATAAGAAATGTTTCTACCATGAAATAATTAAAATCATTTTCCTATTGAACACAATTTCCTTTTTAACATTAAATGAAGCAAGATCTTATACCTCAAGTAAAAGTAAAAAAAAAGAAGCTCCTTCCTAATATGAAATAAGAGTTTTGCAACAAAAAGGAAGAAAATAACTAAACACTTTAAATCTTTTCCAATTAAACAAATAAATATTTCTCTCACTCAAAGTGAAATAAGAACTTATTCAAAATAAAAAAATCGAAGAACTTCTATCATAATGTTACGTCTCTGTGTTCGTTTGTTACTTTTCCGTAAAAAAAATTCTATCCGAAGAAACTTTAGCGATACAAGTCCTTTCTTAAATAAAACTAGTTTTTCTTTTTCAATACAACTTTGCAATACACTTAATTTCCACAGTCACGCTATAACTTAAACAAATGCTTTAATTCACAACGAATGAACGCTATAATTCACAACGAACGAACGATTCACGTGCTTGACTCAATTATCGTCTCTATCTCTGTCTGCAATTCAATTCCATTGTTGCCGTCACTTCTTGGTGGTCTTATATACAAAAATACCATACATCTAGTAAATACTCGAGGCTTCATGAAGCGGCGTGATTTTTCTAGAAGCTCATGACGTGTTACTAGTGTCACGTGACTTCTGCTGTTGTAACACTATTTTAGCATCCCGCAAGTAGACACAGTCTTCAACTCGGATATTCTTTT